AAAACTGTTACACACAGGCGGGCCAATATCAAAAGAGAACTTGCACTTCTGGCTGGAGTCCCTCCAAAAACATTCTGCCGCTGCACCTCGAGCATGATATCCCTCCCGTCTTGCTTTTTTTCCTCACGTACTCATAGTTTGTCATTTGTAGATTGTGTCTTTGTGTGGTGTTGAGAGCACACACGCACACAAACACACACGCACTCCCACACACTCCCTCCTAGCTTACCTGGGTTAAGCCTGAAAGGCTGATTGATCAAAGGCAGTGGGAGCTGCCATCGCTGTTGACTTGGCCTGATATTTTTGCCGTTACCCGGCCAAAACGGTTATTCATTAATTTCTCCCTTTCCCTCCTTTTATCTCCTGGCCTGCTCTGGCCGCTGTGTGTTTGCTCTCGCTGTGTGTTTGCTGTGCGGTGCCGCTGGGTCTGAATAGAGCGCTGCCTGCTCTGGCACATTCAGAATAAGAGGCTTGATCAGCACTTTTGCAAAGTTTTCTAGTGGAATTAACATAATTTAACACAATATTGATAAGTTACCATCATATCACCCACCTCTAGCCTGATATTCTCCAAGAACCTCATTCCATTTAGTCATTTGGCATAAAGAACTCTATGAGGCTCAGCGATTACTACCAATAATAAAGCCTGGCCTATTGACTATGAATTGGGAGTCGAAACTCAAGTAATACTATAAAAATAAAGTATTTGTTGAGTTGACTTAAAGGAAAGGAGTAAAATAGGTCCGAGGTCGTGTATAGAAAGTCATGTGCATGTGCAATCTTTGGATGTCACGCTATTTATCAATACCCATAAAGTAAGGGAAGGTTTTATAATATGTATGGATTAACTTATAACTGGAGACAGCTATGGATCCATTTACTCATTCAGTGGCAGCTGGCATTGCCACTGAATGAGTAAACAGATGAGCGGGAAACCGAATTTTGGCAACAGATATCAGGACTAGTGTATTGATCTGAACTGTCCACTGAACTAATTAGCCATCCATTGATCCATTGTACTTTTTGGAAATTATTATTATTTTTTTTTGTGGTTTTGTCTTCGACCATATGGCAAAGGCAAAAGTGTTTTCAAAAGAAATGCATTCATTCCTAGTTTTTTTCTTTTGTCTCCCCAAATTACTAATTTGCCAATTCCCACCCACTAGCTACAAAAGATTGTGGGCACCTGACCATCACACCCATAGGTAGTTCCCCAGAGCTTCCCCAAACTGTTGTCACAAAGTTGGAAGCATGCAATTGTAAAGGATGTCTTTGTATGCTGTAGCATTACAATTTCCCTTCACTGGAACTAAGAGACCCAAACCTGTTCCTGCATGACAGTGCCTCTGTACACAAAGTGACCTTCATGAAGACATGGTTTAACAAGGTTGGAGTGGAAGAACTCAAGAGTCCTGCAGTGTCCTGACCTCAACCCCACTGAACACCGTTGCGATGTACTGGAACACTGACTGTGCACCAGGGTTCCTCACCCAACATCAGTGCCTGATCTCACTAATGCTCTTGGGCTGAATGAGCACAAATCCCCACAGCCACGCTTCAAAATCTAATAGAAACTGCCTCCCCAGCAGTGTGGTGGATATTATAACAGCAAAGGGGAACTGAAAATGGAATAGGATGTTCAAAAAGCACATTATGTATGCATTTGATGGGCAGGTGTCCACAAACCTTTGGCTGTATAGTGTAACTCTCACCTATCACACAACAATTACCAACTGGGATTTTTTATTTTTAGGGTTCATTCAGAAATCATAGCCAGTGTAAATGCAGACTGTGAGGCCTAAACCTCTTCTGTAGTCCAATAACATTGTTATCTCCTCTCTATTTATGTAGTTATCAATATTTCAGTCAGGCAAAATGTTTTTTACTCTCCATAATGCACATATCACATGTCAATTCCTTTTACTGTTATAAAGAAGTCTCAGGGGGGAAAACCTTTCCTGGAACCTTCATATTGGCTCCACCAAACAATAAAACAAAAAAAACCCACCTATTTAATATCAAAGCCTGACTGGCCAGACACCGTGGCTTATCTTCTCTTCATCTGTATTAATTTCCTGTTGCTGTTTTATTGCCACCTTTTATACAAAAGAAATTGTCCTGAAAAAAAAAACAAAACAAAAGAAAACAGACGAGTAACTGTTGCTGCCTATTATGGCTTCGTTCATATTACAAGCTTCATTCCGTTTTTTTGTTTGTTTTGTTTTGTTTTGTTTGCTTGTATCTGTCTGCCTTGGCGGTTCTTATTCATATCTGTAAATGACGGCTGCGCAAGATCAGGTTGAGAAGGCAAAAGAAAATGGCACAGAGTATTTCTATGGGAGAAATCACCAATTTCCCATCCTTCCACTGAATGAAGTGATTGCTTTTGCTATCTATTGGTGTCAATAGTCGACAGTGCGTTGGGAAGAAAGCCATATGAATTTTGATCTGACCATAGCCATCCATGCTGTATGGCCATTTATCAGGAATGTATCCCATCTTGGACCACATATGAAAGTGGCTCAGGTCTGACTTCAGGTCTGAAAAGATCAAGACTTTTGTGTCCACATAGTCCTAAAAAAATCAGATCTGAGTAACTTCAACCTGGTAATGTGAATGCAAACTAAGTCTATTAAGGTTAAACATGCACTCATCACCCCATGATTGCTATATGAATTGATAGTCCAAAGCACTGCGCACACAGTATCATGACTCTGCTGTGGTCCCTGCTTCATCTATAAAAAGCTGAGGGGTTCTTACATCGCCCTTAGTCTGATTTTCCACCAAAGATACCAAAAGTGGTTTTTGGAGACCTCATTCACCCTTAGAAGCTGAGGCCTCAAAACACAGACTGCAGGAATCTGAAGCCAGCTTTAGTAGGCTTGCGAAAAAGAAGGTGAGCAGCGCCTTTGTTTTGCCACCATAATAATTTCCTTTCGGGGCACGTCCTATGGCTTTCAGGGCAGGGAAAGTGGAGCCCTGCCAATAGCTTCTTATTACACCAAGCATCTGATAGAGGCCGAGCAAGAGAAAGGGACAGAATTCTCCACCTGTAACATGATAGGAGGCTCTTCAAAGGTGAGGCAGCCATTCTGTAGAACATGGGTGCCTAAAATGGACCCTTGCCATGTGTGGAGAACGAAGATGATCAAGTCTTCTGTGGCTACACACGAGTGAAATAGCGATATGGTGGTGGATGGTGGGGGTTAAAGGTTAACATGGCTTTGCTTACTCATCCTCTTCAACCTTTCTGGAAGCCTTCTGGAGTAAATCGTAAAGCAGTTCACACAAGCACTGGGTCCTTTCCCTTCCCGTACCATACATTCCCCTCCTTCAGTGAAAGTCAGTGAGCAGTTAGTGGCACCAGGTTCCGAATTCAGCTACTGGCCTCACCATTACGAATTTAACAAAGGTTTAATAATGCTGTTCTTAGGGGAGGGAGAGATGGTGCTGGTTGAAGCTTAGAAATCAGCAAAGGGAGTGAGGAGAGGCTAGGCATGCCCATTTGGCACAGCTAAAATTACATTGGCTCCCTCCCGAATACCACTGTAGATGCGAAGGAAAGATCCTTGGTTTCCACTTGTGGTTGATCCCATGGTATATAGTTTTGCATGTTTGTGTATGTGTGTCTATGCATGAGTGAAATAGTGAGAACATTTGAGTCTTTCATTATACAAGACTGGATTATTGTCATTCCAACAATCGAGCCTTTTTGAAAATGATCTGTCATGCACTTTTGAGACACCTGCAAAGAGGACACCATATACTACTCTAAATAAAACTTTATTTAGAAAAAATAGTGCTCATGGCACGTACTACAACTCTGCTGTTCTTGTGCCTATCATATCCTCTCTCTTTCTGTTGTTGTTGTCATTTGTCCTTGCTATGACAGGCCCTGTACTCCAAAAGGAGGTCAGACATGTTTTTCAGTGACACCTTGTTCACTTTTCATTGGATTTTATTCATTTACCACTGCGTTTTATAACCGCCCCTGCCTTCCGATTAGCTGGGAGAATTGGACTTGGTCCAGACTCACCATGTTTTTCATCTTGCTCTGTTTCATGTGCATCTAGCGTGCATAGGGATGAGGACATCACCCAATAGACACTGCTCTAATTTCCATAGACGGCCCACACACTGGCTTTATCAGCTCATATGTCCATGGGCAAGTGTCATATAGGAAAAGTTTGAACAGCTTTGTTCATTGTTGAGCCCTGATCTTGGCGGCTGATCGAATGGAAGTGGAAGGAGTGTTCTGTGTTTGAGATGGTTATTTTAAGAACAAAAAAACCCCTCCTCTGCCTCCTTGGAAATATATGCACTTTGACCTGGAAATGATCAACTCGAGCTGTCTTATTTGACGTATTTCAATTGTCTGTGCTGGAGGTCATTTTTAGTGCAGCTTTTGTAGCACTTGGTTGAATCGGGAATAAATAATAAACCAACAAGTTTTGCTTGTGCATGATTAAATAAATTAGGAAATAAAAATGAATAGATATATCCTGCTTTATGCTTCACAGGCACAATATACAATAAGGTACTCATTTGTTTTGGGCTTTCACTAACAGCTGCTTCTATGCTGTTCTGAAGTAGGTTTTGGACGGTATGCAAATGCAGTTGCGATCAGATTACGGACACATATTCCGTTCCGTTGTGTTTACAGTATAAAGCAATAATGAACGTCAAGGTTGAGTTGAGGTCGGCCTGCTGTTTGATGTCTACGTTTGTAGCCGACAGGTATGTAAAGTGATTTCCTCCCTCCCTCTGTGTGTGTGTGTTTCCTTTTGTGTACAAACGCAGTCACTGTAACCTGATCGCTGAACGCTTTAGATCTCATCTTGCTTTTACCCACTTACTGTATTTTTGTGTCTCTTATCTGATATGGCTATGGCAATGCACCATACACACCCTAACTTTTTTTGCTGATCTTTCTTTCTTCCTTTCTTTGCTCTCTTTAATGGAAATTTTATTGATTTGAGGTGTTATTTTTGAGCAGAGGGGGCATGGTGGCTTGGTGGTTAGCACATTTGCCTCGCACCTTCAGGGCTGTAGGTTCAACTCCTGCCTCTGCCCTGTGTGTGCGGAGTTTGCATGCTCTCCCCATGCTTCGGGGTTTCCGCTGCGTACTCTAGTTTCCTCCCCACTCCAAAGACACGCATTGTAGGTTGATTGGCATTTCTAAAATTGTCTGTAGTGTGTGAATGTGTGTGCAGTTGTGCCCTGCAATGGGTTGACACTCTGTTCAGGGTGTCCCCTGCCTTGTGCCCCAAGTTCCCTGAGATAGGTCTCAGGCTCCCTTGTGACCCTGTGTAGGATAAGCGGTATTGAAAATGGATGGATGGATTTTTTGCGAGTTGTTTCCCTCCCTACCTCTTCCTCCATGTTCCTCTGTTATATTATGGTGTAAGCCAGGATATTTATTCTGTAAGAACCAAAAGAACAGGCTACCAGCTAAACTCCTCCTCCTCCACTTTATAAAGCTGATCATCAAGCTGATTATCATTCATTCCTTGAATTACTGATTCATACTGATTCACTTACTGATTCATCGTCAGTAAGTCAAGTCAAGTCAAGCTTTATTTCTGTAGTACATTTAAAAGACGGCAAGCATCAACCCAAGGGCTGCACAGTAAAATCAAATCTGTATAAGATTAAGACAGAATAAAATAAAATAAAAAACAATTCAGAAATGAAATTAAATAAAAAGACAATAGAGAGACAGCAAAAATAAAGACTATAATAACAAGATAGGATAGGACGACGGAGCCCTTACAAGGACTCAGATGCCTTGGAGAATGTTTATATAATCCAATTTTGAATATGTTTTCAAATTGGATTTTAAAATGTCTTTTGTGCGGGATGACTTTATAAACAATGGTAAAATATTCCACAATCTTGGAGCAGCAACAGAAGAGTCCCAGTCACCTTTGAACTTCCTCTGTGAGCGTGGAATGGTTAAAAGCTACTGATTAGAAGATCTTAAGGTTCTGGTGGTAGAAAGGGGGCAAAGAAAATCGGAGATGTAGCTTGCTGTAGGACAATTGTACAACTCTAAAAACAAACCTTAAATTCAATTCTGTATTAATTGGTAGCCAGTGGAGGGAGGCCAGGATGGGGGAGATGTTTTCCCTAAGCACTTTATATTGGTATATAGAAATACACCCTGAATCAGATGCCAGTCCATTGCAGGGCACCAGGTACACAGATTCATACATACGTTCACACCTAGGGGTAGTTAAGAGTTGCCAGACCACCTACAGGCATGTTTTTGGGAGGTTGGAAGAAACTGGAGAACCTGAAGGAAACCCACGTGGGCACGGGGAGAACAGACATCGATACCAGTGGCATATCCAATTGCAAAGTGTAGATCCTGCGAAAGGAGTAGTGCACTTCTCAGTGCTCAGTACTCGCAGAACTGAAACGTTCTCACATGCTTGCTTTACTGCTCCACACTCGTGAATTTCTTTGCGTGTGAACAATTCACAGCACCTTCAGCTCATTTCTATTGACCAAACTCGATCATACTGCGTGGCGCACTCAGCCACTTTTGCTTTCGCTCTATTAAAGATCCAGTTTAAATGCCATAAAGATGTTTTATCAGGTTACTTGTATTGTAGAAAGATACTATAGTATTGTAAGATTTGTACAGTTTACAGTCTGCTTTGCTTTGATCATTAATCGTGAAATATGGCCAGATTGCTGTCATTTCGTGTTGTCAGTTTATTAGTGTGGCAGTGTGTACTAGGGCTTATGACACATAGTATCACATGTTTTAGGAGTGAATGTGCACGCTATCAGACCTACATCCAATATCAGTACTGGTATCAATGTACAGTATCTCAAATTTTAATTTGTTTAAAGAGTTAGCATTCAAATTCTATAATGTCTTCCTATTCACTGTACTGTATATGCTCACTAAAAAAGTGATTAACACAGTGCCATCATAGCACTTGCATAGTGCGCAATATACCCAATAGAACACTACTTGAGATTGTGCATGTTATCTACTTACAGGTAATAGTGCATGTTATCTACTTACAGGTAATAGTACTCTCAGTACTCTCAGGACTTAAACTAGACAACTGCATAGTTTTAGGGGATGCATAGTTTTTTTAAATATGTAAAATAAATAAATAAATAAATAAAGTATTGAATATATTAGTGACAAGTCTCACAAGTCTCATTTATCTAAAAAGTTTAGGAACTGTGTGATTTGATAGACTTCAACAATAAAGACTTTTTTGCCTTCGAATACATATGGAAAATTTGTTTCTCAGCTCTCACAGATGGACTTTGGCTCCACACAGTTGGCCCTTTCCTGGAGCCACACCAATGGGAAGTTTTGTTTTTGTGTTCAGCCAGACACAACATACACACACACACACACACACACACACACACACACACACACACACACACACATACACATTGTTTATCTCTCACTTTTGGACTGAACATTTTTGACTTAACTGCTAGCATTCACAGCATGTCAGTGAAAGGCCACCTGTTCCTCACGTACACACACTCATACACACACACACACACACATGTGCACACAGTCCATTAAGTTTCAAAATCCTCTAACCCCCTTCCTCCCCCATTGGCCTTGCCGCCAAAACCAGCAATAACTGCCCCTCGTCTTCTTCTGTACCCAGTCCAGAGCCCCCATCCCGCCCTGGTCCTCTCACAAGCTTAAGCCTTCTAGAGCATGTGTGTGTGTGTGTGTGTTTGAGAAAGTGTGTGAGAGTGTGTGTCCGGTCTTGGGTTACAATGCTGCTGCCCTAGTATATCCATGCACATTTAAAAGGATGTGGTATGTGCTAGCACTTGGATCTCTTGCCAGCATGGCTCCATTCATTCTTTGAGCACCAACGCACTCATGTAAACCTTAACCGTACCACCCAGAAAGAGGCAGAAGGACCAGAGCATAACATTAAAGCATGTCCCGGTATTTCTGTCTTTTTTTAACATAATTTATAGTTTGTGTAGACCATCCATACTGTATGTTTATGTCCCGACTGAAAGGCGGCATAGAAAGAACGACGGTGAGCTTCTCTTTCATTCCGAGTTCACTCGAGCCGGCCGTTCTAACTTTGCCCATAACAGTCTGAAGGATTTATTGATATCTGCATGGAAAGGTAGTTATTTGGAGAGAAAAATACTTTTAAAATGTGTGTTGTGGTATGACAAGTGTTTCCAATGGATTTTGCATATGTATATGTATCGTGTTGCATGTTTTTAAAACCAAAATAGCCATTTTACATATGAACTAAACACCAGGTTTGGTTTGGAAAAACCCAGGAGAACCTTCAATAGCAGCCTTCAATAAGTCATGTTCTCATTTCTTTATGTCAATATTTATTGCTATATACCATAGGCCCCCAAAGTTCCTGTGACTGTGTCTGAGTAGAAGACCTGATCTAGAATAGGATTTGGCTCAGTGTGAGGGGTCTAGAACTGATCTATAACTGATAGACATTTAAAGGCATAGATAGCCATTTTGACAGAAATTGGCTGAAGCTAGCTCCTCCCTTTTAAGGCTGTAGTCAAGACCACCACTGTCAAGACCAAGACCAGGACTAGCCAAGATCTGGTCATGACGGAGTCTTAAGGTGGTCGAGGCCAAGTCAAGATCCAGTCCAAAAGAAAACAAAACCCAGGCAAGGTCAAATAATTTTTGAGATTCCCCAGAGGCTCAAACTGAAGAAGGTCCTAAATTTAACCTGTGCAAGAGAAGGAGCTTTCTGAATTTATAGCTTGACTGACATTCAAGGAGTGACGCATTCTTGTCCTAATTTTTTGGAGGTAGATGACAGGAATGTGGCTAGAAATTATGGACAACCTAAAAGGTTATTGCTCTGCAACCCACACTCCCTTTTCATATTGTATTTTGGAAAGATGAAATATTTTCAGACACAGCGGGTAGCGTTGCTGCCTCATAGCTTCATCCCTGGATTCCTGGTTTGATCCTGAGCTTGGGTCTTTCATTTAATGACTTTTGTGGCCTCTTCCCATGTCCGTGTAGGGTTCCACCAGTTTCTCTGGTTTCCTAAACACATTCTGCTAGGTGGATTGTTGACTTTAAGTTGCCCCTGGGAATGGCATCCCATACCGGGTGTATTCTCGCCTTGTGCCCAGTGTAACATAGATAGACACTGGATTCACCCCAACGCTGACCAGGATAAACTGGTTACTGGATATGAATGAATGAATATACTCAGGCATCCTACTGGAATGTTTGTGGGCCCCATTCCAGCTGTCTGTACCCTAGACATGTCACCACATTTCACCTCACTAGCGATGGCCCTGGTTGGTGGTCTCTATCATTTACAGACTATGGGGCACCACAGAGAGCAGTGTTTCAATGTTACATTAAATATGCAATAAATATTAGAAAGCGTACTGACTTAAAAATTACTTACCCCACTTTTAACTTCCATGCACATCTTCAGTGGCCGCCATACCTTCTCTTGTCACATGATAGTCCTTGTTCTCCATCTTCATGAAGACAAGAAGTGCAGCCAGCTTTTCCTGTTATTTTCCTGTTCCGGTATTTGATTAGCTGCAATCAATGTTCAGTTGTGATAAGAAATGGAAGGGAAAGGCCTGAGCACTTGACATCGGTGATATGCAGCTTTAGTGCTGCTTTTAACTTACAGTATGCTGTTTTCAAGCCTCAGTGGCCCTCGTACGTCATTATGGGCCTCACGCTTTGCTAAGAGCTAGCTCCAAATCTTGTTCCCAGGCGTTTATTACTAATTCACCAAAGGCATGCGCTCATTGTGTTGATGGCTACGTTTATAGGTTCAACTCTCCACCATAATTAACTGATTATGCATGTAGTGTGCCAAAATATATTAATCTGTCATCACTAGTTTGACGTGTTATTTTTTTTCACTTGGTTCTTTTGAGTCCTACTGTCCACACAAAGAATGTGAAGAAAAAAAACAAAACAAAGAAAGTGGAAAGTCACAGAGTGTGTGACTAATGGATTCTAACAGATAATGAGAAAGTATGATCATAACTGTAACCACCATGCAATAAATGTGTGGGTCTGCCAGCGTTTTTGAGCT